TGGGGGCATGTGGGGACATGTATGGACAGTGTAAGTGTGTGGGTATAGGTGGGGATAGTAATGTGGGGACAGATGTGGATGTGTGGGGGGGCATGGGTGTGTGTATGTGAGTGAATGGGGGCCTGTGGGGACATGTGTGGACAGTATAAACGTGTGGGTGGAGGCAGGTGAGTGGGAGCGTGTGGGGACATGTGTAGATGGTGTAAGCATGTGAGTGGGGGCAGGTGAGTGGGTGGGTATAGGAATGTGGGGACAGGTGTGGGTGGGGGGGCATGGGTGTGTGAGTGGGGGCTTGGGGGGACATGTGTGGACAGTATATGCGTGGGTATGGGCGGGTGAGTGGTGGCATGTAGGAGCATGTGGGTGGTATAAGCATGTGGGTGTGGGTACACGGGGGGGCGGGAAGGGGACGTAAGGATAGGCAGTGCTCTCACCATGCTCATGAAGCTTGGGTTGTTCAGCAGGCCGGCAATGTCAAAAGTACCGACACCTCCTGTCTGTGAGGATTAGAAACGTGAGCACATTAGTGGCACCCAGACACGGGGCCTGGCCCGCCCATCCTAAGTTGTTCTAAAGCTGCCAGCATTCTACCATTCCCCGTTGCTAGCCCCATGGTGTCCTGCAGCCTTGGGCACAGTGTAGGCCCCTTTGGGAAAAGCACAGACGCCAAGAGGAGGAGAGCCTGGCCCCTGGCCTGTGTCCTGGAAGGTGTGGCAGCCCAGCCCTCCCGCCAGCACCAAGCCCCTGCAGCCTCACCGGGCTCGGCGCCTCCCTCAGCTTGAGCTCTGCGATCTTGAGGTTCGACTTATAGGTCTCGTTGTCAGGGTCCAGCTCCAGGGCCTTCTTGTAGTAGGCCACGGCTTCCGTGTGCTTGTTCAGGCTGGAGAGCGCCAGGCTGGGGGCACCCCCAGGGCAGGGTGCTGAGATGTGGGCAGAGCCAGGGGCATTCCCTCCCCACCACCTGCACCATCAGAACCAGGCTGGAAAACAGCCATGGACGCCAGGAAGCAAATGACAACCTGAAGTGTCTGTTGCCATGCCCACCAGAGAGCTGGGACGGGGCAGCCAGGTGCAGGTCACATGCTACCCTGAGGGCAGGTCCAGACCTGGCTCTGCCACAGCGCCAGGCTCTACCTGCAAGGGTCTTGCCCACACGCAGGCGAGGCTCCATGGGCAGCCCGTGCACTTACCCCATGCGGCCGTAGGCCTTGCTGTAGGAGGGATCTATGCAGATGGCACGCTCACAGTCCTGCACAGCCCCTGCGTAGTTCCCCAGCTTGCTGTAGGCTGCGGCCCTGGGGAAACAAAGGCAGTGCCCACTGCTCAGCAGGGGCTCCAAGTTGGGCTGGAGAGAGCATTGAAGAGACACCTCCATCCCAGCTCCCCAGGAGGGGCTGCTGGGAGTGAGTCCTGGTTTTCCTATCTGTAAGCGGGGAGGAGCCTGGCATCCTGTGGTGGCCTGGTTTCATCAGAGCTTCCAGGCTCAGAAAGACCAGGCAGAAAGGCCTAAAGATTCACTTTCTGAAAATCAGTCAATGAAAACCTTACAGGTAACAACAGAACGCTGTCAGCCCGGCTTGCCAAGGCCATGTTATCACGTGGGACCACCAGCTGGAGGAGGACTTAGTGCTTGGTGAAGCAGAGGGCCAGCACAGGAGGCCCTTAGTGAGGGGACAGGCACCATGGCCGAATGGACGGACTCGATCCACCAAGAGGATGACACATGACGGGGCAGTGTTTTCTTCCATTGGATGTAAGATCGCCACGGGCTGGAATGGACTTCACAACAACTAAGAACAATGCAGAATCACCCACAGTCACGGCAGGTGGGACACAGGCAGGTGGGTGCGGGCTGCAGTGCTTGGTCCCGGTGCTACAGGGAGGATGTGCTTGTCTAGGCCCTGCCCTACTCTTCCACGGAAAATCCAATCTGGTGGAGGTGGAGGCAGGGGGCCAAGGATCCTGTACAACTGCTGGGTGGTGGGGCCCGTACCCAGAGTTAACAGCCTCCAGACGCACCCACCCAAGGCAAACTGCAGGCCCTAGAGAGGCCGACTGCTCCAGACTAAGAAGCAAGGCAAAAAACTGCAGACGTGTGTTCAGAAAGCAGACGGCGGAGTCACGAAGTCTGAGAGGAACCCCAGCAAGTGGGGCTGGACAGACGCCACACCCACTTCTCTAAGTTAGGGTCTATAGGCTCCTTCTCTTTTTGGGTCAGGAACTGGAAAAGTACAGCCCGTTGGTCAACTCCAGCCTGCTGCCTACATGTGCAAATAAAGTTTTATTGGTGCACAGTCACACCCGTTCCTTTGTTTATCAAGCCTGTGGATGCTTCTGTGCTATGATCTTAGGACCTGCAAAACTGAAAACAGTGCCTCTGAGAATTTTTACAAAAAGTGTGTCAAACCTTATGCTAGTGGGGCTTCAGGCTGTCTGACGACTGTCAACTTCTACCCTTTGATTAAGGAGTCCTGGTGGCTCAGTGGTTAAGCACTTGGCTGCTACCTGAAAGGTCAGTGGTTTAAACGCACCCAAATGGCTCCTGAGGAGGAAGACCTAGCAATCTGCTCCCATGAAGATGACATCCCAGGAGCCCTGTGGGCAGGTCTGCTTCATTCCATGTGGTCACTGTGAGTCAGAAATCAACTTGAAGGCCCAACAACAACTAAAAACTAATCTGTTTAGTACCATGGTATTAGTTCTCAAAAGAAGTAATGTTTTTAACTACTTAATTATCCTGTTAAAAAACTTGTTTCTTCACACCTAGCGATAAGTTTGTGTGTCAGCTTGGCTGTGGGAGGATTCTCAGCAGTTCAGTTTTTATAATGTCATCCCCCACGATGCGATCTGATACAATATAATCACCTCCACGAGATCTGCTATGAGTAGCCAATCAGCTAAAAGCGAGTTGGCCTGCATGCAATACATATGGACGGTCCAGCAAGGCTCTCTGGCTTTTCACTTGATCTGGATCCTGCCTCTGGGTCATCACCTGACCTCCAGTTCTCGGACTGGAGTCAGCAACCCGCCGTACTGCCTGCCGACCTTGGCGTGTCAGCCTCTGCAGCCTGTGAGCCAGCAGCCAGCCTTAGATTCACCAGCCTCCGTAGCCAGCCATCTGATCTGCTGCTCTTGGGTTGGTCAGCCCCTGCAGGACGTGAATTAGGAGAAGCCTCCAGCCTGATGTCTACCCACGGACTCGGGACTTGCCAGCCTCCACAACCTTGTGAGCCATGTCCCCCAGACAAATCTCTCTACACACACTGATAAATAAGCTTCACTGGTTCTGCTTCTCTAGCAAACCCGGCCTAAGACACACTGCTCCCCTAGCTTCCCCAGCAAGAAACCTACAGAGCACGGTTCTACTCTGACACATGCAAGGATGCCAGGAGTCCAGGTCGACTCAACAGCAGCTGGCCATCATCACTGTGAACGAATTCACAAAAAAATGCCGTATATATACATTTTTTATGGATGATGTGCTTGGTTGGAAGTTCTGCTCAGGAAACTGTGCCACTTGACTTTCACATCCCTGCCCATTCTCCTCAGGGCCACCTGGCACCTGCCGGTCCTCTGGAATCATAGTGTAGTCATCACTGAAACAGAGTGTGGATGCAGTGCCTGTCGCAGGTTCTGCACCTCCTGCAGCTCCCTGTCCCCCTTGGTGTGTGACCGCCCTGTTCCCCTGGCCCAGAGTGGCACCTGTTACAGAAGTAGACGGCATTGGCCGGGTTGAGCTCGATGGCCTTCCCGTAGAAATGGACGGCTGCTTCAAAGTTCTCGACCTTCATCTGCTCATTTCCTACAAAGAAAGAAAAAAATGTCATGCTGGGCTGTTGACATCAGACCACCCCAGTGGCTGGATAACCTCATTCTCAGATCCCCTGGGCTTATGTGCGTTTTGGCTTTTTAAAATTGTGGTCCATATCTGTGTAGGAGGCCCTGGGTGGTGTGAATGATGAAGCACGGGACTAGCCAAAAGGTTGGCAGTTCAAACCCAGCCAGCGGTGCCTCAGGAGATAGGCCGGTGAGCTGCTACCAAAAGGCCACAGCCCTGAAAACCCTACGGAGCAGTCCTGCTCTGTACACGCGGAGTCACCATGAATCCGAAATGACCTGAGGACAACTAACAATCAACATGCACGTCACACACCGTTTTCCTCTCCAACGCTGTTCACACACACACTTCAGTGACAGCATTCATCAAGTTGTGTGACCATCATCTCTGTTTCTAGATTAGTCCCCCACCACAAAGAGAAACTCAACACCCCCTAAGCAATGACTTCCCCTCTGCTGGCAACCACTATAAACTCTGGTCTCCCTGTAGCTGCCTACCCCACTTTATGTCAGAGACCCTCCAGTAAACACTGCCCCTCTGTGGCTGGCTTCTCTCTCTGGGCACTGTTTGTGAGGTCCGTACACATGGTGGCACGTGTGATAGCCTTGTTCCTTTAAAGGCTGAGCCACGTGCCACTATGGGGGTGGACACACTGTGTTTCTCCACCGTCTATGGATGGACACGTGGCTTGTCCAGCCTCCTGAACAGTGCAGTGGTGAACCCTGTGTACCCCTATCTGTGGGACTCCCTGCTTTCGAGTGTCGTGGGTACGTATCTAGGAGCAGAATCATCGAGTCATATGGTATTTCTAGGAGCCCTGGTGGCGCAAATGGTTAAGTGCTCAGCTGCTAAACTGAAAAGTCAGTGGTCTGAACCCGCCGAGTGGCTCCAACCTGACACTCTGCCCTATGAAGACGACAGCCTAGAAAACCGGGGCCATTGTCACACGGAGTCACTAGGAGTCAAAAATTCCAACAATGATCATGTGCCACTTCTACGTTTCACGTCTGAGGAACCGCCACACTGGTCCACAGCGGCTGCCCCCTTTCACAGCCTTGGGGGCAACACACAAGGGTTCTCTTCCTCAGTATCTGTGTGTCTGTTTTCAAATGCTCACTGGGCCCTTCCTCAAAGCCTGACTGTTGACCTGCACTTAACGACCGGCCAGTGTCCACTGTGGCCAATCGTGTGGCAGGCCAGGCAGGGTGTAGCAGACGGGCACCCTGAGAGAGGAAGGCGGCCTCCCATTTACCTTCTGTCTTGAGACGCTCTGCCTCTGCGGAGTCCTCTTCGGAGGGTGGGGTCCGCTCGGGGCTCCTCAGGTCCTGTGGCATCTCCTGGTCCCAGTGGCAAAGGCAGGTGTTTTGAGAAGCAGCAGACCACCTCGCCATCCAGACGCTCCAAACTTGTGGCCGTCCAGCCAACCATCCCCCTTGAAAAACAACTCGAGAGGACACCTCAGCTCTGACGGAGAGGCGCCAAGCCCGGTGGCTGGATTCCCAGGACCCCTGGTGGGTAAACCCCACACTCTGTCTGGGTTCTCCATGGGCACAGAGAGGCTGACAGCCTGTTGGCCACTGTGTGGCACCTGACGGTAAGATGGGATAAGCAGAACACTGACACAGTGTCTGGCACACAGCCTGATGCTCGACATACATGCATGACCGCTGTGGGGGAGTCTGGGGCATGGGGCCCTGGAAGCTTACCTTGCCTAAGGCGGCTGCTTCAAATATTTCTGGAAGAGTCTGGGGCAGTGCCAGGTCATGGTCTTCCACGGTCACTCCAAACGCAGTCTCCAGGCACTGGATCGCCACTGGAAGGGGGAATGTCACTGTTTTGGGAGGCACCAAGCCCCACTGAATGTAACCCCAACCCCATGTACTCAAGGGTTATGGGCAGGGCTCCTGATTGCTCCCTTCAGATTGGGCTCCCAGAGGTCCTGGAGGCATCAGGCACTGTGTGTCCCCGGAAGCTCCTGCTTCCTCTTGTTCCCACCCTGGCAGTCATGCCCACCTGCAGGCCAAGAGCAGGAGAAGCTGGAGGAAGATGTGCTCCCCAGCCCCGCAGGCAGGTGACATCAGGGTCCTACGTGGGGTCCCACTGCTGAGTGGGGAAGGTACGGGGTCAGGGAAAGGGGGCGTTCTGGCCTGGGGGACTCCGGTGAGGGAGGAGGAGGGGAGCAAGGCTCTGTGCCTGGGCAGACTTGGCAAGCCACAGCACCACCCAGCCCCTCCTCACTGCGCCGCCCTGTGATTCTGGGCAGAAGCAGAAGTCACTGGAAGGGCCAGGCAGCCACGGCTGGGACCCTGCTCCCTGACCGACCCACACAGCAGCTCCACAGGCGTGGGGGCTGCCTGGCCAAAGATCTCTCTAGAAGCTTAGTTCCACCCGGGATGCCAGCCCCAGCTTCCTCTGTGCGTGGGGGCCTGGAGCCACAGTCAGAAATGAGGAGGAAAGGGAGAACAGGAGCAGGGAGGGAAGGGGGAAGCAGGCCCCCGGGGAGGCTGGGGAGGAGGGGGCGGGGAGGCAGGCCCTTTGGGAGGCTGGCAGTGTATTACCTTCCAGGCTCTCCTGGGCATCGGAGGAGAGCTCCCCGTCCCGGAGCTGCCCGTGCAGGAAATGGATGATGGCGTAGGCCAGGCGCTTCTTGTTGTCCATGCTGAATGGGGACGGACACTGCCGGGGGTTTCAAGGTCTGCAGGTCAGAGCCGAAAGCACGAGTGCTGTTGTTGAGGGGTGCTGTGGGGTTGATTCCGATTCACAGAGACCCCCTGCGTGACAGAGAACTACCCCGTAGGGTGTCCTAGGCTGTTGTCTTTATGGGAGCAGGTCACCAAGTCTTTCTCCTGCAGAGCTGCGGAGTGGGTTCAAACAGCCAACCTTCTGGTTAGCAGACAAGCACATAACTATTATGCCACCAGTACTCCTTAAGAACATGAAGACTGGATGGACACGGGGAAGAGGTAATTATCGGGAAGAAGTGGGAGGGGAGCTGTTGCATTGAGGTAAATTGTAGTCAATGTCATGAGACAAAGTGTGTGTGAGCTGCTGTATGGAAAGTGAATTTGCTCTGTAAACTTTACCCAAATCACAATTAAAAGGAAAAGAAAAAGATTACACCCTTGGGGGGGTGGGGAAGAATGTGAGGACCAGGAGACCAAGAGATAAGACAGACACAGCATGAGTGACGGTGAAAAACGGCCCCCTTTCTGCTTGGCGTGCTCCCCTGTGGACCCCTTCTTCATGCTGCACCCACTCACCCTTCCTCCCAGTGGATGCCCACGTGGCCTGGCCCTTCCTCCGCACCTCTAACCTTGGCTCTCAGGGGACATCCTCTCAGTCTCCCACAGGGCAGACACAGCAGCCCAGCTGTGACAGCACTCGGCACGTGCTCCATGACTGGGCCATGACTGGGAGGGGCACTGCACTGCATGGGCAGGGCGGGCACACAGGACAGCACAGAGCCTTTCCCTGGGTGGAGAGTGAGGCCCTGGTCCTGGGCCGCTTCACGGTGCTTTGCTGTTGGCCTCCCTTCATGGGGCCCCCACATGGAACCAACACTACCCAGTCCTGCGCCATCCCCAGATCAGCGGTGGATCCGACTGTGAGGATCTGCAGGGTTTTTGTGGGCCTTCCTGCCCTGTCCATCTTAGTCTGGAAGCTCTGCCTCACAGCAACATGCAAGCCTTCACTGTCAGGCGGGGGTGTGGTGATGTATCAGGTGCATGGGCTGAACTGAACCTGGGTCTCTAGCACAGAAGGTGAGAATACTACCGCCGTACCCCCAATTCTTTTCTAAGCATTCAAACCAGTTGCCGTGGAGCTGACTCCAACTGACGGCAAGCCAATGTGTCAGAACAGGACGGTGCTGCACGGGGCTTTCAATGGCCAACTGTTCAGAAGCAGGTCACCAGGCCTTTCTTCCCAGGTGCCTCTGGGTGGACTCATACCTCCAATGTTTCAGTTAGCAGCTGAGCCTGTTCACTGGTTGCCTCACCCAGAGACTGGACTCAAGCAGAGATTTTATTCAGTTAACTCAAGGGGGGAGGAACTCTTGAGATAGGGAGAACGTGCCAACCTTCAGGTCAGCAGGTGCCTCGAGAGTTGGGCGGGCTGGGTTCTTTTACAGAGACGGGAAGAGGCAGCTGAAGAACACAGGTGTGGACAAGTAGGACGAAAAGGCAGCATTGTCAGACGGCAAATGCAAGAGGGTTTTATGCTGAAGCCAGCCTCTTCTCTGGAAGGGCTGCATTCTGTGTGGCTCAGGCTGAGAGGGGGGCCAACGTCCAGAGCTTGCGGGGGACAGAAACGCTTAACTGGAGTAGGCTTGACAAGCAGGTTGATTAATCATTATGAGCCCAAGAGTGGGTCTTTGGAGGGGCTGTGATGGGCCTAGGGGGTCCTTGGGTAGCACAAATCATTGACACTCAACTAGTAACTTAAAGGTCGGCAGTTCAAAGCCACCCAGCAGCCCTGCAGAAGAACGTGGCATGCTGTCCACATTTAAACCCACAGAGTGGAGAGAAGAGGGAAATCACAGGAGCTGCAGGGTCACCCTGTTTGCTCCACCCGACCCAGGAGAATTTATTCTGGTCTACGGTGCAAGCAGGGTCCACATTCGATCCTTTCCCCAAAATCAGTAACACAGGGTGTCTCCGCCTTGGCACAGCTGCCACAGGGCTGGGTCCTTATCTGGGGAGGAGCCATCCTAAGCACGGAGGGTGTTGAGTGGCATCCTTCGTCTCCACCCACTCAACCCAGTACCACCTGCCAGCTGAAACGACCAAAAATGTGCCCAGACACCAGCACACCACCTCACGCCGAGAGTGGCAGACAGTCACTCAATGGGAACAAGAACGGCTCTCGGGCTCCGCCACCTGGGCTGTGGAGTCCACTCTGACTCACCAACGCCTCACACTTTTCAGAGCAGAACAAGGCTGCACAGGGCTTTCAATGATGGAGTTTTCAGAAATAGACGGCCAGGACTTTCTTCTGTGCCATCTCTGGGTGGACTTGAACCACCCACCTTTGGGTCAGCAGCCAAGCATGTTTACCATTTGCACTATGCCAGTACTAGTCAGATGACCTGGCGAACCCGCTTTCTGTGAATTTAGAAAAAAGCCACCTGTGTAGCTTTTGGATTTGGGAGCATTTGGATTTCAAAAGTGCAGACAAAGGATCGCGGTGACTCCATGCATCACAGAACAAATATTGCTGGCTCACGTTGTCCCCAGGGTTGGCTGCAGATCACACGCCATGCTCCACAGGGCTTTCACTGGCCGAGTCCCCGAAGGGGGCCACCAGGTCTCTCCTCCTGATCCACCTTAGTCAGAGTTCAGCTGACACCTGCCCAGCATCCTAGCACCATACCAACCTCCCCAGACAGACGGCGGAGCTGCCAGCAGTTGTACTGGCTGGGAATCAAACTGGGGTCTCCCATATAGGAGGTGATGGTTTCACTGCTGAACCACCACGGTCCCCCAAGTAAGCTGAGAACCCCAGACCTCAGGTCAGTAAAGGACATGGCACACTGTATTGGACCCAGGTGGCTTCTAAGCATTGTGGCTCCTAAGCCCGGGAAGTGGGGGAGGGCAGGAGCCAGCACGCAAACTTTTCATCAGCACACCACGTCCAGGTGAGGGTGCTTGCCACCAGCACGGAGCGTCCAGGTGAAGGCGTTCCCTGCCCTCCAGCATAGTCGCGGGAGGGCCGCACTTCTCCACAGCAGCCAGCATCTTCTGAACAATCACAGCTTGTCGGATGTTGGCTGCCAAGCAGAATTCACAAAGGGCCTGCTTTCTCGCACAGTGAGCACTCTCAGGATCCACCCCCAGACCCTGGCCTAAAGGGCACAGGATGCCAAAGCGACAGGCCTGGGAGCCGGTGGCCCGAGGGCTGGCTGGCCCTGGCCATACTGCTCCCCATGGCCTCCCTTTCAGCCCTGGGTCTGGAACTCCGCATCTCATGTTTTCATTTAATCATTTAAAAATCCAACCAACCCAGATCCTGTTCCTTTTCTTTTCTCAGCCAGACTGATGGCTCACACGCACAAGACGACTGACCATCTCGCTTGAAGGGCCTCCCTTCTGAGTAGCACTGTGCTCCCAGGGTTTTCGGTGGCTGGTTTTTCGGAACCCGATCACCAGGCTTTTCTTCCGAGGTGCCTCTGGATGTGCTGAAACCGACAACCTTCCAGATAGCGCCGAGCCTGTTGTGTCTGCACTACCTGGGACTCCCCATCTCTGCCCACCTCTGTTTTAAAGGCATTTGGTTTTTTTTTTAAAATTGTGATTTGGGTGAAGATTTACAGAGCAAATTCACTTTCCATACAGCAGTTCACATATACTCTGTCTCATGACATTGGCCACAGTTTACCACAATGCAGCAGCTCCCCTCCGACCTCCTCCCCATAGTTACCTCTTCCCAGTGTCCATCCCTCCATGCACCCCTGCCCCCTGAGCTATCTCCCTGTGCATAAGCAGCCCTTCTTTCCCCCATGATTGTTCTCTCCAAGGGGTGTATCTACTTGAGGTAAATGTTTAACTCATATGTTAAAGGCATTTTTTCATAAAGAGCAAGTTAACGTGAGCTGGGTGCTCTGTAACTCTCTCCCATTTTAGGGTAACACCAGGCACCCCCCCACCCCAGTCTGTTAGTGTGTCATGCTCTGGTGGCCTGAGTGCTGGTGTGTGATGTGGGAGGCGATGCCAAGGTCTCTGAAACACCAGCCGGCATGTGAAATACCTCGGTGGACAGGTTTGTAGCAGATCTTCCAGACTGAGAGAAACAGGAAGAAGGGCATGGCGACCCACTTCAGAAAAATCAGCCAATGAAAATCCTGTGGGTCACAACAGTCGGCTGCACGGCCAGTCATGGGTGGTGCAGGGCCAGGCAGTTTTGCTCCATTTGGCACGAGACTGCCAGTCAGGGTCAAGTGCACGGCAGTGACAGCAGCAGCACCACCAGGGGCCTGCTCCCCGGCCTGTGAGGCCTGGGAAACTTGGTTCTTCCTCCGCCTCCCCAGCAGCCAGCAGCATCTGCTCTGCAGCAGGGACTCAAGAAAACGTCAGAGCATGTCAGGTTCAGAGCTGGGCCATAGAGCTCCCTGGGGGATGTCTTTTTTCTTTGGGTCTTGGATTCCTCACCACAAAGAGAGGTAATAGACCCAGTCTCGATTAACTCTGAGCAAGTCCCTTTACTCCTTCAAACGTTTACTGAGAACTTCCTAACAAGGCTGCTGGTGGGTCGTGGAAAAATAATACAGAAACAAGGCTCCTGTGGATTCCCTGAGTGGCACAACAGTCAAGGGCCTGGGGCTGGAGCCTGGAGCTGCTAGCCAAAATGCTGAGGGCCCAGTCCACCCAGAGGTGCCCTGGAAGGCAGGGCTGGAAAAGGTCAGGGACTGCAAAGCCCGCGGAGTGCAGCTCAGCTAACACACGTGGGGGCGCCGAGTCAGAGCTGACGCAACAGTAACTGGTTTAACACTGCTGGTCTCGAGGGCCCCCAATCTGGGGCAGTGCTTAATGCCATCTGGAGTCATTTATCCTAACCTGTTGCCACTGAGTCGATGCTGACCCATAGCGACATGACAGGACAGAGAACAGCCCCACAGGGCTTCTGAGGCTATAAATCTTTATGGAAGCAGGCTGCCACATCTT